ATAGGCCAAGCTGATGAGTACAGATGCCGCTGAAATTTCTCCTGCTGAAACATAGCCTCACGCCCCCGAAATGATTTTTCCTTCTTCTACAGAGTCGTGTTTTTTTTTTTTTTTGGGATGATGTCATACAGCCTCAGTGTCTTACACAAACAGGCGTTTTCTTTTTCTGAGAATTCCATAATTCATTTTGTTACACCCGTTTTCAGCTGGAACTGCTGTACATTTTCTCCCTTTAGTGATTTGTGTTTAAACCAGTCAAGCACCGACAAACACAGTAACACACACACCAATACTCATCTATGAGGCTCCGCTAATTATTGCAGAGAGCAGTTAATTAATTCAAAGTACCTACTGAACTAAAAGTCACCATTGTGTTCCAATGTTGCTGTTTTATTCCCCCGCTACTGCCCTGAAACATTCAGATATTAACTCAGTTGTGTAGCTTGAATAATTTAAGATCGTCCTCCTGTTAAAAAAGGATGGATGGATGGATGGATGGATGGATGGATGGATGGATGGATGGATGGATGGATGGATGGATGGATGGATGGATGGATGGATGGATNGATGGATGGATGGATGGATGGATGGATAGATGGATGGATGGATGGTGATTTTTCATTAGATCAGTTATAAATGAATAAATAAATAAACAGAATCATACATAAATTAGATTTAAAAAGCTATATCTTTATTGAGATTTCTTGGCTCTTCTTTATTTATATTCTCGTTTAAAATCACAAAATATTTTTTTCAGTTCTATAACATAAAAATTACATCTTTTCAACAAGGTTTCTTGGATCAAGCTGACAGAACCTTTCTATCTTTCTATAATGCTCTTGATCAGCAGATCATCAGGCTTTCTGAAGGTCTTTCGTTGTGTTTTTTCTTTTCTTATTTTCCCAGAAACAGCATTTTCTGCTAGTAGTGAGAAGAAGAACAAGAGCTGTAAGTCCTGAAAAAAAATCTAAAGCTGATGAGGAACATCTAAAGTTATTTCTTTAAGAGAAATGAATTTTAAAAAAGCAAGAACAGTTCATTAATCCATTGCAGTACCTGAAAGGCACTCATCTGTTTGATGATTATCCAGTATAGCAGACGTTTATATCTAACAGCTGTTTTGAAGGAATTTTTCAAGTTTAAAAACACATTTTCTTTATGTCAAGCTGTTTTATTTGGTGTTTATTATTTATCCACATATTGGACATTTTTTTCTTTTTCTAAAGTACTACTTTGGTTGGTTTATTATTTCTGGTCGAAGCTTGTTTCATGCCTCATGTTTTTTTTGTTTTTTTTTCCTGAGTTAACGCTTTAATCAAAGACCCTTTGAAAATGTTAGGTATATACCCCAAGTCTTTCAATTTAATTCACTTTAGATTGGCGTATTGACTTGTCTGGAAAAATACTGACTGTCTTGGGGAAACACAAACTGTTTAATAAGCAAACTTACTTAAAATGAAAAGTGAGAAAATCTGACTTGCTGGAAGCCACGTACCGAGAAATTAGACTTTCACCATCAAGCTTTTTCTTCTCTATCTTTCATGATTTATTGTGACATAAAATGAACAAAGAACCCTTCTTATTTATAGTTTGGGGTATTCTGCAAAGCTTTGTAATCCACTGACTCCCCAGAGAGATTAACTCTGTCACTACAACTGGGATTTAAACCACTATGTTGACACAGACTTGAAGGAGAACAACCCTGGAGGGCTGAGTGTTGGACAAAATAATCAGTTACAATCATTACATAAAAGCAATCTTTGGTGATTATTTGATGAAGATGATGTCCATTTTTTTTTTCTTTTAAAAAACAAACAGTAGCGATTCTCCTAAGTCACTATATCCTGCAGCCATTTATCTACACGCCTTAATTTGAAAGCAATGCAAAACTGTTAGCAGCAAAATACATATAAACAAACTAAACTAATTATGATTTTAAAACTAATCCTCATCACACACACATTGGGACTACTGAGCAATAAAACCATTTACCTTGAAGGAAGAAGGGACAGTGAGTTTTGAGGGAAATGTCACAGAACAGTGTTCAGTCTGTGTAACTTGTAGGAGCAGGAAGTGAGTCAGAGATCTACTATGGATTAAATAAGTTCCTTCCTCACATTTTCCATCCGTCTGACCAAGAATGATTCACTCTTTTCAATGTAGGATGGCTGGGTGGACTTTTCCTAACACAAAGGGAAAGTTAGAGTCAGAGGGAAAGCAGAGGCAGCTTTATTTAATTTCAATGTATCTATATAGTACAATCAATGACGTAACGACACAACAATAGGCCCGTAAGCAATATTATCTGAGTGGGCCCCATATGAAGGCAACACCCCATCCATGGTATCCATCGTCGCCAACACATTGTACGTAATTGTTATGTTTTTAATCTATGCTCTGGGTTACCCATAATTCCAAGTCCTAGTGTAAAAAATAAAATACTCAAATACATCGTTCTTTTAAGATCTTTATTGCGATTTGATAAATATTATATGCGTGTATTTTTACAAACCATCTAATGAACTATACACAGTTATTAACATAGTAATTAAAAGTATCACTGTCTGCTTTTCTATTGGTGTCGTGTTTAAACGGCTCACCATCCTGTTGAAATCTGCCATGTGTTGGGGTATAAATACGGGCTGGTCAGTCAAAGTAGTATCAGGTGGGTTTATGAGGAATTTTTTGCACCATTACATCTGCAAAGAGATGTCCTAGTCCACAATTGCGTAGGGGGCCAACTAGGTGTCAGTGACGGGGCCCCTAAGCAACTGCAGTCTCTGCTTACCAATATTTACGCCATTGAGCGCAAATAAAACTAATCCCAGGCCACTTTTTGATTTTTAAAAGCAGCTTCTCATTCAAGATCAATTCATAATTTTCTTAATTCATCATTTAAAATGGACTTAGAAGATAGAAAAGAAAAACACTAATTTTATACATTATAATTTGGAGACATATTTAGTGTTTAAATATATAAATTCAATTTAATTCAGTTTATTTATATAGCACCAATTCAAAACATATGTCCTCTCAAGGCAATTTACAGAGAAAATTCAACCAGATCATACAGTCAGGTTTCTATCTAAGGAAAACTGGCTGATTCCATTAATTCATTGGCTTGAAAGCATCCTTCACACTAAGCATGCTTGTAGCGACAGTGGAGAGGAAAAATTCCCTTTTAACAGGAAGAAACCCCCAGCAGAACCAGGCTCAGTGAGCAGCCATCTGCTGAGGCTGACTTGGATTCACGGAGATAGAAGTAGACATAGAAAAAGAAGCAGAGATACAAAAGGCAACTGTCAACTAACAAATACTGCAGAGTGGGAGAATAGATATGAAATGAAGCAGAATGATGAAATACTGTAGATGTCCTCCAGCAGTCTAAGCCTATAGCAGCATAACCATAGAGATAGCTCATAAACTGTTGTAAAACATTGTCATGGATCTGAGTTTTATGTTTGCCTGTAGATGCCGTGAGACCTGAGTGAGGCACATCTATGTTTCCAAAAGAGTAAAAAAAATCTGTTGCAAGATGTAAGATTTTTGGTTGAAAAAAAACAGCAATTTAGATGTTTGGCAAAATTGCACAGCCCTATTTGATGAAGGACACTGTGAACCAGCAGGTCTAAACAGATTATTTAATTCGCTGAATGGATTTGGACATATTAACATGACATCTTTGTTACTATAAACAGATGAAAATAAAAACTTTCTAGTCCACAACGGCCCCATGGCTATTCTCTATCCCCCATTATTTTTCTAGGCACATGAAACAGTCTGGACACTTAAAAATCCAACACCTCTAGAAACCAATTCAGGAGATTTTGGAGGTCTTTCTCTTTAAACAAATTGTGTCATCTCTAAAATGACTGTTAGTTAAAAATAGTTAATGGATGTTGTTGCGCAGTATTCCTGCTTCCTAGAAGAAGGCTGCTGATCATCAACTCTTTAAATAAAGGTGACATAGCAGCGATCCATCCGTCCCTAGAAACATCTCCATTTATACCAGCGGGGTGTTCCTCCCACCTATTTTCTTCTCCCCCCCACATCTTTCCTTGTGGTGATTCTCCCCTGCTTGTCCTGATGATGTAAGACAAAAGCTGATAGAAAAATGAATGATTTTATTATTTGATGCGGCTAAGCTGGTATGTAGAAGGCTTCCTTTTTATCCTGGCTTTGCCCGCCACGTGTAACGCAGTATTGGCTGCTGGACAGATTTCCCATGCTGGGCGGACAGATGCTTTCTCTCCCCATAAGCATTTTGAAAGCACAGCGTGTCACAGAATGCAAGCCAAGACGACGTATCCAGCAGCTCAGTGCCTCATGTTGCAAACATGCAGCAGGGCCATTACAATTTTATTTGAGTAAGTGTTTTAAGATGAATGTTCTGAGATGATTTATAGCAACCACACACACCATTGATTAAATACATTGATTATAGACATGAATATTCATTAATCCATACTTTTCTTAAACAATTTATAAAGGGCATTTTTGGTCAACCTCAGGATCCGTATAATACTGCCGCATGGATTAAAGCCGCAGTACGTTGCTTTAAATAAAAATAAAAATACATCATATTCATAGGTACCTTTCAGGGAGCTCACGGCTGGATAAATCAAAGAAACTAAGAGCCAAAAAATTACAAAATGTACATTTAAAAAAGGTGATTTCAAACTAAGTTAACATAGGAGTGAGACATTTGTCACATTAGAAGAAGATTGGTCCTAATGCAGGATTTAAACATGTCCAGTTTGGATCTTGAGTGCCTGTACCATGTGATGGACATGTAAGCTGGGACAACAGTCAGGCTGATGGACAGCACCAATAATATCAAAAATCCCTTTCCAAATAATTTTTTTTAACTTCCTCTTTGAATCGTCATAATATTGATCTTTATAATTATTTTTCCTTTGTTGGCATCATCATTATAGGAGAATATTTGAACATCTTGACTTTCAACTGTTTTTTTATTATGATTGTTTTGTCTCCCACAGACGGCTCTGAGGCGACGAGGTAGCAGGGAAGCTTTTAAGGAGAAGAAATCATCAAGTCAGGTAAAAAGAAAGAAAATCAATTCGCTTAACTGTGAATTCAGCTTTCATGGTATATTCAACAAGTGAGCAATATATATAAAAAGTAAAACTTTTCCGCCATGGTAGAAATATACTTAGCTTATTTGTTTTTGTTAGTTTTGATGAGATCTGAGGAGGGAAACAAAATGCCAAACAGCTTATAAGTTATGCTTGGAGCCTATATAAAAACATCATGGCGGCACGTACACAAAATGTTTGATTGACAAACAAGCAGCCAATCCACTTTTGACAGTAGGCAAAGTGGATTGGGTAATGTTTCACCATGGCCGCAGTGGGGGCAGGGGAGACCAAAAGTGCAAGAACGCAATCCATCAATTAATTAAATTTAGACTAATCTGGACACTTACTTTCTGAGAAAAATCCTCTAAGAGTACCGTAGGATATTTACCAGTGAAAGAGGTCGACACCATTACAGATTTTACACCATACCTACTATTGGTAATAAAGTAGTTTGCCAAAAATGTGTCAATTGTTTTCTAACAAACTTACTTGAAATATTTTAATTTAAAAAGTAAATTTTAATCTCATCCAACTAAAACCAACAGTTAAATGCTCAGTAGATCAAATTGTATGGAAGGGTTGGAAAGAAAAGTCTTCCCATTACAGAATTACTCTTAAACAGCCGGTTGACTCGAAGACGGACTCTGATGGTTGTTATGGAGTCTTCTTTGCTCGTCTTTGCAGTAGTTCTCAAGCTGTTAGCTTTTGATATATTTTTAACATCTTTATTGTCCTGATTGTGTTTGATGGTGAGATCATCCAGCCTTGATTGTTATGGCTCAAGATTTAAAGGGAAAAAAATGTTTTAATGACTACTTAGTAGATTTGAGGAAAAGCTCTAATTTCTTTAGCTGCTCAAAAAGTTAAAGCTTATAATATACTCTGCAAGAATCAAGGTGGTGAAAAGAAAAAGACAAAAAGCCTCCAAGTGTTCATACTCTGTGAGAAGTTCATATGAGGTCTTTCCACTGTAACTTACGTCACACCTGCAAAAGAAATCACAATAGCAACCCAATGGCTTTCTTTTATTTATAATGAAGAGATGGAGAGCAAATTGCTGTATATTTTCTTTTTGAAGAGCTATCATACAATTGTATTTTTTACTGCCTCTGCCAACAGATTTTCAAAGCTATCCATTACAAAACAAATCACTGTACAGATTTCCACAGCTGCAATATGGGGGAAATGAATAACTCAAAAAGAAAGGGGGAAAAGCCTCTTTGCTTTGCCTAGTTACTGTAACAACGCACCTCTAAATCCTGACCGAACTCACAACTGTTCATAGACAGGCTGTGTCCTCAGCAGTGAGAACAAAGTGTCGTAATTTTGTTCTTGACACCTTAAGATGTCTTTCTTATTGGCCTGAAACAATGAAAGAAAAGACAAGTAAACCTGACAAGACTTCATCTGCAGTGTTGTTTTTGGCAGCCATTTTTTGTCATGCGTCAAGGTTAAACACAACAAGAGAAACTGTCAAAGACATCCCTAAAAAAAAAAGAAATAACTTTTTAATCTTGAGTTAAAGCAACTTTGGGTTTCAGCAATTTTACAGTTTTCTGGTGCACCCAAACAAAAGCTCTGTAGCCTCAATGAGGAATTTCAACTTACAAAAACAGCCGCTTACTAGGTGTTTTCTCTTTTTCAGCCGATTCTCTGTAATCTGTAGAGATGGTTGTGCATGAAAATCCAAGTAGATCGGCAATTTCTGAAATAGCCCACCTGGCACTAGCAACCACGCCACGTTCAGATTCACTTAAATCACCTTTCGTCCCCATTCTGATGCTCGCATCAAAGTGCAGCAGATCCTCTGGACCATGTCTACATGCTTAAATGCATTGAGTTGCTGCGAGGTGATTTGCTGATTAGAATTTTGTGTTAGTCAGCAGTTGGACAGGTGTACCTAGTAAAGTGGCTGGTGAGTGTAAAGTTTGATTACATGCTGCTATATTTATTGACTCCCAGTATGCTGTTATGTGAAACATATGGGGAATAGAGACAGATCTAATATGCCACATTATTCTCCACTTTCAAGTAACAAAAACAAAGATCAATGTGACAATGCATTGCACTCACTATCCAACCATAAATGACTACATCCTCTATACACACAAAGCTATTGCGCTAAAGCAACCGAAACAAGTTTTCAACCTAGACTAAAGTTAACTGGACTAATTTACCCTTCCTTTGTGTGCATATCAGCCTGGAGAGCTTTTTTACGTATGCTGCTGGAGAGTGGTAGTATTTCCCTCCTAGTTTTCACCGCATTAACCACTGTCTATCTCTGCAATACCCTTGTTTTTTTCCCCAGATGGATAGTTATTGTAAGTTTGCATCATTTTTATTTCTGACCACCAAGCTTTAATGATCTGTGCTCAGATGGTGCTAGGTGGGGCATTTCAATGATAGGATGGGAAGCAATATTGCTGATCCGTTATTATTTTACTGACAGATTATATGCACAATAGGCAGAAAGGTCCTTGATTTAAATCTGACTGACCACACATTAAAATTTTTTATCTAATCTCTTCAACAAAAAGTCATGCACACAACAATGAAATACTTTTGTCATTGTCAATGGAAATAACACTGTTCATCTGACACTATACTGTGGTTTTGCCTGCTGGAACTGCATACACTATGAACAACACTGTAATTTAAGGTCATGAATTGCCTCGTCTTCATTTATCCTTGCAGGAGGACAGTGCAGACCTTCGATGCCAGCTCCAGTTTGCCAAAGAGGAGTCCGGCCTCATGAGGAAGAAGATGGCAAAGCTTGGTCGGGAGAAGGATGAACTTGAACAGGAGTTACAAAAGTACAAATCCATTTATGGCGACATTGACAGTCCCCTTCCCTTAACTGATTGCACTGGTGGGGGCCCTCATACGACACGAGAAGCAGAGCTCCGGCTGCGCCTAAAGCTGGTAGAGGAAGAGGCCAATATTCTTGGAAGAAAAATTGTGGAGTTGGAAGTGGAGAACCGCAGCCTACGAGCAGAAAATGAAGACATTCGTAGTCAGTATGAAAGAGATTGCTTTGGGCGAGAACCTTTCTCCAGTATGCCCTCTTCTCCATATGGTGGTGACCCGTTAGAGTCGGCTGGCGAGCTGCGTCGGCATCTCCAGTTTGTGGAAGAGGAAGCTGAACTGCTACGCCGATCTATCTCAGAGATTGAGGACCACAATAGGCAGCTGACATCTGAGCTCAATCGCTTCAAGTTTGGCCCCAGCAGCACTTCTGGACTTACCAGTGAGGAAAGCAGTGAGGGGGTATTCTATAAACCAGGGAATGGAGGGAGTGGCAATGGTTCTAGCAGTGGAATGATGATGGAGGAGCTTAAATCAGCCCGAATGCAGATCAATGAGCTGAGCGGAAAGGTCATGAAGCTGCAGTATGAGAACCGTGTCCTCTTGTCCAATGTCCAGCGCTGTGACCTGGCTGCACACCTAGGCCTTCGCACTGGAAGCCCTCGAGACAGTGATGCAGAGAGTGACGCAGGCCGGAGAGAGGCTGCTGAAGAGGAGGAAACGGGGCGACTACTTCTGTTACAGCCAAAGAGGGAGGGTCCAATTGGGGGAGAGAGTGACTCTGAAGACCTGTTTGAGAAAACAGGGACCACCTCAGGTTTAGGAAGCATTAAACCCTCGGATGGCAATGAGCTGAGCGCCACTGAGCTTGCCAACCGTAGAAGAGAAGAGCGGGAATCATTTGCTAACGTGAAACGGGAAGCCGACAGGCTCGGGAAGACTGTGGATCGTCTGATCACGGACACAGACAGCCTGATCTTTGAAGGGAGGCTGCTGGTAACCACAGGGGAAAACCTCGATGGCGGGGCAGCATCTGGGTCCAAACCAGACACTCAAGTACTTGACAGCATCAACACTCGCATGAAGGCTTTCCGTACAGAGCTCCACATCTTCATGGAGAAGCTGGATCATGTAGGAGAGGGCCTGAAAGAAAGGACAGATGATCTATCTCCAATGCCCAACCTCACAGAGTCAAGCAGCTTCTTGTCTACGGTTACCTCTATGTCCCGTGACTCTCCTATCGGCAACTTCGGAAGAGACCTGGTCACGGACTTCCAGGTTAGTTCAAGACACCTCCTAAAACTGGCCCATGGCCTGCTAGTCTGTTCTCCTAAGGTTACATTTTAGGCCACTTTTTTTCTTTCTTCTGGTGTTTTATTCCCTTATAAAATCAAATAGTCATCTTGACTGGTTAGATCTAAAGTCATCTTACTCTGTTGAATTGAATCAATTTTCAACCTCAAGTTTATCTTAACATCAAACAAAATCGGTTTTCTGTCTTTACTTATGCATCAGTTAAATGCAGATATATATGTAGAGGATGAAAGGTAAAACCCTTTAGTGCAACTCTAAATATAGGAATTAAAAGTCTCCAGGTGTTTAGTCATTGGTGGACCATTTAAGGCCAAAATTAACTAAATGACAGCCTGAGTCAGCACTGTGTGCAAAAAAGTCAGTTCTAATTAAAGACTTTGCTAACAATGTTACTGGGAAAAACTCAACAAGTTGGGGGTAAATTATGCCTGATAGATTGTCTCAGATGTTTTCCAGTCTATTTTTATAATTATGTCCCTATATGATCTCATAGCAATGTCTAATAATTTCAAATCAAATGCAAGAGTTGATCAAGAAATATGTTAGTTTTTTATCTACACTTTTTTTTTTACAAGGTACCCTCCTTTGTTCTCCCTATAAAGAGGTACAACCAAAGACGTTTCTGGAGGGTTTTTTTTAGACCAAACCAATTCCAGTGTTAAATCAGTGCTACTTTTTTTTATTATTATTATTTATTCTTATGTTTTTTATTTCATTTTATTTATTTATTTTTTTATTTATTTTTTAAGAAAATCAAAAATGAGTGCTACTGTTTGCTTAGCACTGTTTATCTACCTGTAAAACCACTAGTTTTACAGGTAGATTGCACAGAAGGATGCACTGCCTCATTACTCTTTGGATATAGAAGCAAACTAATTTAATATACAGCTTATTAAGGTTACCGGTGATTGTCTCGTAAACATGTCCCTTTATCTCGTGCTACAGTATCCAGTCCTGATCTGCAATAACAAAGATTTACTCTCTCTATGCTCAAACTTTTACCCCCTCACAGATTTTTTCTGTTTTTGCTGTTTTTGTCCAACTTTAACATATTTTTCAGTGTCAAACTTTTTATCTGATCTAAGATGAGGATAATATGGGTACATAAAAGGCTGTTTTTTAAATCATTTCAGGACAAAAAGCAATCCAAACCAACCTAGACCCATATGAAAAGCCTAATGATAATATGAATGACATAAAAACTGTTTGGAATAAACTAGACTACAAGGTTTTGAAGTTTAAACACCCTGTTTAAGGTCATGTCAAAGTATCTCAAATTGATTTAAATCTGTACTTTGACTAGGCCATTGCAACACCTCAATATTTTTTTGGTTAACAGCATGTGTTTATGATCCATTTATAATGGCGGGTTTTAAATAAGCAAATGTTACATAGTATAGAACCAGTCAAACTGTAGGGGAGAAAAAAAAATTCCCCTATATAATTAATGAACAACAAGACCATTGACCATTTTTGAGATAGACTGTAAAACATCTGGGACTGCAATTAGGACATGAATTAAACAAAAGTTTAAAAGCATACTATTGAATCAATACTAATTTCAGCTTGAATGAACAAATTTGCTTGCCTCTAAATATGCAATTTCACAGAAATAGTAATATTTAATGAAGTGATATCTAACTAGTCAATGATCTAGCTTTTAATGTAGCTCTTATGAAATAATGAGACAATCACCAAGGTCCCATTAAAACATTCCAAAACTATGAGTTTTTTTATTTTTCCAACAGTTGAGAAGAAAACAAGTATCTAGGTTACTTTTATAAGCTACATTCTTCTAAAAATATAAAAAAAATTAAAATGCTCTAAATTTGTTGTCTGATTTAGCAGAGTCAATTAGTCTGATTTCAAAGTGTTCTGTGCTTTGGACCATCTTAGATCAGCAGATCTATCATATTTGGATGTCTCAAACCTGAACCTGATTTTTCTACATCTATTTCACATCCTTTAAAGCACAGTTTATGATATCTAATCGTCATTATGTTTGAACAAATGGGAAAAAAAACAATCCAAAGCTCTATTTTACATCTAAATCTGAATTCAATTTTGAAACCCAAGGTCCAGTTTAAAACTGCTTTTCAAATTGAAATGACAGAGCTGTAACTTTTCTAAATTGACAGTGATAGCTATATAATTACAGCCTTTAAGGACTCTGTAGGAACCCTTCAGTTTTATACCCCATTAAAAAATCTACAGCCAACTATGAGCTTATTGATCATTCCTCGAGTGTTTAGAGTGTTTCATATTCATACAGTACTTATCGTATGAAGGAGTGATCTGACTGTATTGGGGTACTAAATCTGGATTGTTGATCCCTAGTTTCAAATCTATTTACGTTGTTCAAACAGATCTTAATATTCCTTTAGTTTTTGAATGCGTGGTAAAAAATACCCCCCTAAAAATTAGGCCCTGTTTAAGATGTGGTAGGGCCAGGATAGGCTGCCCTTCAATATCAGGTTGTTTAATGATAAGCCACCCAGCTCTACCACACTGGCATAGACACCAACTATCCTCAGTCCCACTGTCACCACCATCGCTTTTTGCTGCCGCTGCCCTCACATCTGCATCTCCATGCACATCCCCATGGACAGCAGCCCCGCCTCTCTGCACTCACTGTCTGCAGCCGTCCTGCTTCCAGTCGTCTGGGGCGCTGAGGGGAGGGTGCTTGGTGTGAATGGAGTAAGTACAGAAGGGGTTTACAGCATCTTCTTCCATTTGGCTCAACATTCCGGGCCTCCTCTGGAATTGTTGCATGATCGAATTTGGTACCATAATTTCTTTGCCGCACAAATGGTTTGGCTATCATGTTTTTACAGCATGTCATCTTGTAATTGGATTATATTTTCAAGGACATAAACTATAAAAAATGTGACAAAAATAGCATGCTTGGTGACAAAGAAAAAGCTGCATGGGGCTGTACAAGTGGAAGAACCTTGCTGGCTGGCATCCTGCTTTATGTTCTTGTTTTATTGCAGCTCAGTGTAAGTCAACATGTCAGTATGGTTAAGTCCTCCAAAGCAGGTTCATTATCTCTTTGCTGCATGATCAACAAACATCTTGTGTTTTTTTTTTTCTAATCAGTCAGTCTTCTATTAGAAATAAAACAAGCAGCTCTTTAGACACGCCTCATTTGAAGAACCCCCTGTCTTCTTTGCAGAGATAGTATTGAAGCTGTCTCAATGCTCACTCTTAATGATGACTGGTCTGCTTTGCTCCTCTACTAGTAGGAATCAGTGTTTAGTCTGGGTGAAGCTGGGTGGTTTAATCACATCTATTTGCTCCTTTAATGTTTCAAAACATCAAAGCTTTTAAAAACTCCTAGAGGCTAGAATTCAGACTGCGCCAAAAGCTTTGAGTGCGTCAGCAGCGAGAGCTTCATCTAGAAGATATAAGTAAAAATTAATTTGACAAATCAATACATTCACCAAAGGAACAACAATACTCTTTATGTACTTGTTTAACCTAAAAAAACTTTTGACTGTAAATTTTCTCGTTTTTTTTTTTTACCTACAAAAAAAACTATAGAAAAATATGAAGATTGACTCCAAAATTCAACTTGAAACTCTACATCAAATGAAGATGAAATCTGACTCATAGCAGCTTTTTACATCATTTAGAGCAGTGTTTCCCATGAGTACCCCTCTCAATCAAAAGTATTGATGATTGTCCAAAAGTGGAATGTACCATAACTGATTATAAAACAAAAACTATTTTACTAAATCTTTTAACCTGAACATTTCATTCGTAGGCATTTTATTCTTCCCATCTCAAATAAAATACAGCATAAATATATTGCCTGTAAGTTTTTAATGAATTGAATACTCCCAAAAAAACAGCCCCTCCACTCATTTTATGCAAACTGTAGCTTCTACCTCCTGTTCCCAGCTCCTATCTATGGGAGAATTATCCTGCCATAATGCAAGAGCACATAATTTCAATTTGAGAAAAGAATTTCATTT